GCTTTATTCGTGAGTAATGTGATTGTCTAGTGCATTTTAATTTTCACTTTTTTTGAAACCTCAAGCTCTATAATTTACCTTATCTACTGTATATTTCTTTTTTGTCTTCATACCCTCAGTACACTGCAAAGAAATGTATCTAGCATTCAAATATATTTTTATCTAAATATTTTTCTTTAAATCAAAACAAAAAACAATCTATCTGATTTATCAATAAAATAAATAAATTACGTAAATTGAAATCAATTCTCTCGGTCGAATTTTTATTTCTGAATGATGCTATTAGTCGTGATCACTATTTGCCTCTACTTTTTTTTATGACTCATTTATTAGTGACTACTTCGATTCTGTATCTATTTAGAATTTCTGATGCGCTGATACTTTCATAGAAAGACTTATGATTAACGTACATTTCCCCGTAGATTCAATATCATATCCCTTGAGTTATTATCTTTTTTTCACTTTTATTACTTGTTATATCACATTTTGAATTTCCTAACAAATTAATCAGATAAATATACTATCGACAGATTCATTGACAATCTTTTAAATAATACAGCTTATATTTATTAGTCCCGTTGATGTAGTTGACTGATTGTAAACTGACTAAAATTAATTGTTTTGTGGCTTTTGATAGGTGTTAGTTTAAATTTATCGATTTCCACTAATTACAAATTCACAAGAATATTCACATGACTAAACGACTGTCTATTGAATTATTGATGCTCTCGGCGGATTAAAATCTTTATGAGACTTGATCGAAAGAAAAGAATAAATAAATAAAGGAAGCAAAAAGACCGAAATGTTGGATCAGAACACTAACGAAGCACCATGCGAAAGCCGATTGTTCTCTCTGGGAAAATTTTTACTTGTTTCCTCGGGAAAATCTGCATGAGAAATAAATGAAAAAATTAGCTAAAAAAATAAAACAACGTGGAATGCAAGCGGGTATAAAAATTCGCGTACGTAGACATTTCAATCAGTTACACGGTTATTGCGCAAAAAGAGCTAGAGGTAAAGAGAGAGAAAGCTGAAAGGGTGAAGAGGGTGGATAGAAGAAGAGAATAGGAGCGAATGTTGTGTTCTTCGTCATGTAGAAGGGATGAAAACTTGGTCTATCGATGAGAGAAACGTTCTCTCTCATCGAAGGTGAGAGAGAGGAAGAGAGAGAGAAAGAGTACCGAGTGGAGAAAGAGGAGGGATGAAAGTGGTCCAGGAGTGGTTGGCAGCGGCGGCATTTATTGATCGCTTGGAGCAACCCTGCCAGCAACCCCTCTTTCATCCCCGCGGTCGTCATTCCTCTTCTCCTAGTGCTCTTCTCACCACATTCGACCTTCTCTCACCCACACCATCAAAGTCCTGAAGCCTATGCAATCTCCCACCTCCCTCTTACACGATGGTTCAATCATATTAATTACTAGCATCACCTTTCTACCTACTGTTGATGCCTCTTGACGCTTCCTAACTCCACTCTATACCTATCTCTTCCATTCCCTGCCTCTAGATCACTCTTCAGAATGCCGACAGCTTCGACACTTTGTCAATCCTACGACAAAATATTATCCCTCCAATTGTACCATGAGTATCGATGCTAATCTTGTTAAAATTACCCTCTTATCCAACCTGACTTCTCACATTGTCAAAAAATTTTTGTTGAAAATGGTCTAAATTCAAAGTTAACTAACATTTTTTTCCCAATGCAATATAAACATAATTTTGTTAGTAATTTAATATTAAACCTTAAATTTGATTAATATACTTTACATTTTTTATTCCACATTAATATTCCTTCTGAACAAATCTGCATTATTAGCATAATATTCAAAAGACTATTTTCAACAGTTTTTTTTTATCAGACTTGAAAGGGTGAATTTTTAGATTCTTACTCCTTACTATAATAACAAAGGTAAAAGATTTATGCAGCGATCTCCAAGCCACTAACGGCCGTTCGCGGACAGGGACAAGATAAAATAATATTCACTAGGAGATACGACTAACGTTTTTAACAGGATACAGGTTACCAGCCGTGCCCTGGAGTTGGCTGGGAGCGGCCACGCCATCGGCAGCCGCAGCAGCCGCTGTAGCAGCAGCCGCAGTGACGCCATCCCCTGCAACTGCACCCCTCGTCCTTGCTCCCAGAGCAGCGACGAGACGGAGGTACCGATCTTACGCAATCTCCAATTTCCTTATCACAAACAATGTCTGAAAAGCAACTAAATATTATAAATAATATTGATAACATCATTCAGACACTTCTGTCTTCACCAACACTTGCGCCTCCTTTTCAACCTTTTTACTCTTCATCCTCCTCTATCATAAAAACCAATTCTTCTAACACTTTGGTGTTGAATCTTTGTTAGCGTGTTATTATTAACGTGTGTACTTCTCCCGCACTTAACAAACAAATAATTCACAATTGTTTCACGCCCTATTAAAAATCGCCTGCACGATTTTATAGGTAAATAATCACTGAGAATTGCATCTCATGTTAGTTGAAATCACGCTACTTTGTTGTTGTTATTTTTTTTTCATCTCAGCAAACGCCCTTTAGGAGCGTTGCATGACCAATTTATTATGACTATTATCATAATTATGTCAATATTAATAGCGTGATATTATGTCAGGATATAACTCGTTCGTAGGTGAATTGTTGTTTTGTCACTTATATAACCCACTCTTTTTGGAATGTGCCTGCAGTTATATGCATCACAAGTATGCAATTTCATTGCCCCTAATTGACGTCAAATAAGTTATAGATTGCATACAATCTAACTAATTCCATTATCTCACTTACTTTATTACTGTAGAAGCTTTTTTATATTATGACTACTGCTCAAGTATATACAGTTTTGGCCAAATTTATTCGGGCTTTATAGGAATATTTTCAAATCACTGATTATGTCATATTTTAGCTTATTTTATTCTCTATTTTCTTTTCAATTTACAGCTGGGTTTTTTATTAAAGGAATTTTTAAGACAGGTAATAAATTTTAGTTTTTATTTGGATTTCTTTCTAGTTATAGATAAAAAGTTTTTCACTAACTTGAATGAAAATGTAGTTAATTTAGAATTTTTTTCTGCATTTTTTGCATAGAACATTTGATGTTAATTTAACAATAGTCGCAATTGATTTTCTTCAAAATAAATAAAGTTTATGATTAATTTAACAGAATACTGACATGAATTATTAATTGAAATTGATAAGTCTTTAGTAATTTCATTAAATATTGAATATTTTATCATTGAAATAGCTTAATTGCCATGAAAATTTGAGTGATTTATAAAATTTCGAAATCAATCAATTATCAAAATAAATTAAAATAATTATTTGCCCGGAAACAAGTATGTAGGACTATTTTTATTAGAATCAATATGTTTTATTATTTAACAATGGAAATAATTTGAAATAATTCACTTATAATTATCATAATTAAAAAAAATGAATACCAATACTGTATATGTTTTGAGTAGTTATGGTTTATTTATCATTGTTGGTTAACAATTTATTCATGTATACCAATAATCAAGGATAAAAATATGCAGCAAAGGTAGGGAGAAGCAGTATATCTTAGAGTACAGCAGCACTTAAAAATGAGACTTTAGTTTGCTTATTTATTACGATTTACTTCAACTTCTTGAGGTCTTCAAGTGGACAAGAAGCAGCAGGAAGAGGAAAGTTGAAGGTACGAGGTAATCGTCTTGCAATCTCTCCACTAGATGCATCTTCAAGTTCCCTCGAGATTCTTGAAAATTTTGAATCTCACCTACATCATATACGGAGTTGTTGCTCCTAGAAGAATCCTCCAAGGACTTTTCAAAACAATTTTGAGTGATCGGGGTATATTTTCTATATTTGTTTTTTGAGTTTGTTAATATGTATATATTTTTTGAAAATAGTGTTTCTTCCAACATTAGTTTCTAAAATTTTATCAACAAATTTCATCATTTGAAAAGCAGTTTGAAATGAAGAAGCTTCCTAGTAATTTAGTTGATTAAAATGAACTATCTTCTGATTCACAATATCATTTAATCAATAGTTCAGAGTTGAGGAACAAATCAATAACAATTTTTTTATCTAAAATGGTGGAATTTGTCCTCAAAAAACGATAAAATTGAGCAGATGACTTTATTGAGAAAAGAATCATCTAGGGAGTGAGAATTGAGTGTCGCTCACAAGTTCAATCGTGTTGAAATTTTCCAAAGAGCATTTGCAGCTGTTCCAGGAGCCTTTAAAGAACGAATGATTGGTTTCAAAGAGATCGATGAACACCCAGGAACGTCACCCAAGCAACTCTCGTTCATTTTCTCGTGTAATAGAACGTTGCAAAAACGAAAGCAATTGGCTTTTTTTCCAACAACGATCGATCTTTTCATCGTAGAAGTTGTCAGCAGTCTCCAAGCCCAATGTTCCTGTTGGATATTTCTCAAGACTTGTCATCTTCTGTTGAACTAATTCAAGCGAAACCTGGTGTCACTTTGACTTCCAGCTAACTTGTCCGAAGTGTATAGTACTATCCAACTGTCTCTTCTCGACCAAACTTAACAGGACAGTCCTTGTCGCTCGTATCTACTTTAGGAATTCCCCATGAAAGCAGGCAAACTAGTAGTCGCACATAAGCCGAGGCAAACTAGTTGAAACTTCAAACTTTCCGTGTCTCCTCAATGTCTCTTGTAACTCGTCTGTGCTTTGCTGCCTCATCAAATCGTTCTCTTTTCCCTCATCACCATCCTCTTCGTCCGCCCATCATTTTCTACCATCTCTTGGCAATCTCCAAGAGTCTCTTGACAAAAGCCCTTCAACCTTTTTCTACACCGCAATGGCTCTTGATTTGTTGTCTTCCTTTCAATCTCTCATTGACGTTGACGTACTAAGGGCTGTGCTGCTGCTGCTGTTGCCGATGTCGACGCCAATCAAATGAGGACATTTAGCATCCTCTTGACCTAACATTCTCAACGAGCATAACTATAAGGTAGGCCATTTTGGCATGTTGTTGTTGCAGCTGCTACTCTCCGGGGTGTTGCCATTCAACGTGGACGAGTTGGCCCTGCAGCAAGAGCTACTTTTCCAGCAAGTGCTGCCGCATTAGCACTTGCACGTAATCCTGGACCTCTTGCCGCCGCAACTGCACTGCATCCGTTTGCACCTGCGTAAGTAATACTAACTGCACGATTGTTTGGGTTTATTTGAAACACTCTTTGCATTTTAACATTATTATTCTTTATAATATTATAATACATTTTTGTGCATAATGCTAGTTTAGAAACAGTTGGTTTCATTAAACATTGTCAAGAGTTTTGGAAAATTGTTAACAGCTGCCTGAGTTATGCACTAGAATACACATGTGTGAAGACAGAAAGATAAATAGAGTAAAATAAATAATTGTTTTTTAGAAAATGTTTTCAACTTTTAGTAAATATTGTCATTTTTGTTGAAATATTTGTTCCTATTTTAATTGAAATTGATCCAATGAAGTATAAAATACTTTATTAATGATTGAAGTATTATTCATAATATTAATTAATTAATTTCAATACTTTTGAAAACTATTTAAATACTTGGAATCTATTGAGAAGTCATAAAGCAAAGTTTTGATCAAGTCGATCTTGAAAGTTTCATAGAATAGTTTTGTAGTATTAAACAGAAAAGTTCATTTTTTGATTTAAAAAAACAAAACTACATTTATTTTACAAGCTTGTGAAGATTTTTTTATTAATAAAGATTTTTTAACATGATATGTTGATAATTATCTTATTACTGTGAAGAAAAATGAAAAAAATTCTGTTAGATAATTAAATACACATGAGGTCAACGATGAACTACTCGTTTACTCAGTTTATAAAAAAATCCTGAAAAACCTTCTTTTATAAACTAAACAGTACTTTTTATTATTGCAACAGTATATAATTAAATTTACATCACAAATTTATAGACAATTACAATAATATTAATTAAAATTAATGGAGTAATGACTAAAAATTTCTTTCTCAACCTTTCTAAAGCTTTTTTAATTAACATATAAGGTTGCTAATTTATTAATTAAATTTTTATATAAAAAATACTGTAGTAATGTATCTAAAACAAACTTTACAGCAAAATTTAATTATATTTATTGATAAAAAAAACTTCTCAAGCTTGTATTTAAATGAATTTATGATAATTCTACAAAATATCTCCATGATGAAGAGAAACTACATTTAAGTAGTAAAGGAAGAAGTAATTATGAATAATTTAAAAATTACTAATTTCTTATTTTTCAGTGTTTATTACGACCCCTTCTTAGCAGCACATGCAGCGCAAGATCCCAACTACAGGCTGCAGGTAAAAAAATAATTTATTATTTAGATTCTAGACGTAGTCAAAACGCTTGACATACAAGAGCATCGTTGAGTTAAAAAAATGAAGGAAAAATGATAAAGTAGGAAGAGAATTAAAAAAATAACGAAGACATAAAGAAAGAAATAGAGAAGCTAAATGCGGATTTCATTTAAATGATTGTTTGAAGCTCTTGTACGTCACGTTGACGAGAAACTATAGTATATATATATATATATATATATATATGTATACATACTTTGACTTATTTAAGAACAATGAGAAAATGAACTAAAAGCATAAAAAAATTACGGAAAATAGCTGGAATGGCCGCAAGCAACAGCCGACGTTAGTTGACACGTTTCATTTTACTTTTTATTTATATTATATTATTTATATAATATACCTTGATTATTTTTTCTATCATTTATTTATTCTTCTTTTATCATTGTTCCCTTCATCATATTAATGTAATTACAATGCATCTTTATCGTAAAAAAATAAATGAAATAGGTCATTATTATTGGATTAATATAAAAAAATATATTTAATAAGTATAAAACAATATTCCATGCAATTATTAACTTTATTACATTTCTATTATAATCAAGATAACCAATCGTATATTTTTTTTTTAAATTTGTATTGAATTGTATTTCGATCAGTCTGCTTCACAAGATCGCACGATGTTCATCCGCTTCAATTCCATGAATTTTCTTTTACCGTCTGTTTTATTTTTTAGTTTATTTCATTTATTTATTTGTTTATGTTTAACTTTGTTATATCAATTTCATTTATACTGCAAGTATTTTTATACTTATTGAGATGGAAATTGAATAAGTTTGAATATACTTCGACTTAATGAAAAATGAAAAAAAAAATCATGAAACAATAATAATATGATAATATGATGATAGTAGAAAATAATAATAACTGATTAAGAAAAGGAAAAAAATTCGGGCGCTAGAATTTTTTTTTCAGGATTGCCGTTTGTGTTTCAGGCTAAAGCTCCCGCTCTGGAGGTAGGAAAAACGGTTAACCCTTTTAACTACTCTCTACTCGTTTTCTCTTTCACTCTTTTTTTCTTTCATTCACTTTTTCCTTTATCATGTTAGTAAAATCATTAGCACAGAGTCCAATTAAGGTTTTTTTATTCTATTGATTGAGAAATAACATTAATTCTATAAAAAGTCATTAATGAATCAGGGAAAAATGTAGATACTTTAGAAATAGACGTCAAGATTAAGAGGGTTTCTAATTCAATTAATTTCCAAAAAGAATTAGTTGAAAATTCAATTGCTGATTAGTTGAAGTTGAGAAGAAAATATATATATGTCGAGTCTTGTTATATATGCAGAGGGTGAAAATTACAATATTTATTTAGACAATTCCAAAGTAAAAAAATGTATCGAGAAAATGTTGCAAACTAATACACTCATGGAGAGTATTTAACTTTAAAAAATGTGATTAAATGACTGAATGACCGCATTTATTAAATGAGAATGTGTTCATACAAGGATCATGATATTATGTCCAGAGTACTAAGTAGAGGATATTACTTTGAGATGAGAATCTTTCAATATAGTCATTCAACTTTTAACTCGATCCGACAAATCGCTCAAATATTTTACAAAAAGTTTACTATCAATACCGAAATCATATAGTAAATCTAAAAAAATTTAAAAGAATGCTCCAATATGTACTTAAAAAACGTTTTCTTTCAAAAATAAAAATTGTACTAAGCTTTGAATGAGACTGAGAACATTTTTTATTGTAAAAACATGGCAAAAAAAGGCTAAAAAAAGTAGATTCAGTTAATTCTTTTCTCTAATCTCCCTTCAGCTGTTAGATTCAAAACTACTCTGGTATTCTGTTTCGTTTGATCCACGGCTTGGTTGACGAGCGAGTGAGGCTCTAGCACTCAACAACTCTCTAGGCTGGGGTGTTTACGTTTACGTATACGTGTTACGGAATTTAATGCGTTTGGGTTTGCACATCTACCCTTTATATCATTTGCAATCTACATATGTAGACTATCTCTGTGCTCGTGTCTTGTTTGAATTTAGCTGTCCGCTGATGTACCGAGAGACCGAAACCTTTCCGGCCTTCTCTATACCCTACCACCACAACATTATACAAACAACTATCTGGCGTCACCCTCTCATCCAATCCCCCACTCCACTTGGCCTGTAAACATCACAAACATTTACACGTCCATATATGAAAGCTTGCTTGCTCTCTGTTGTCCGAGTAGAAATAACGATGTGTAAATATTAAATATATCTATATATATACACCACCTATATATTCAGCAGTAACATGGATCTTTAGACACACTCTCTCTGGGGTAAATAGCAAGCAGTGTAATCGACGTCATTTCGAATTCATCCCCTTGAGAATCCCCAGATCTTGGATCGTACAAGTGACTGCAACACGATGGAGGGTTAAACGATACAGAGTACCAAGACAAATGGCAAGCTCGACTTGCAGTAAAACAAGGTCAAGCGCGACTTGCACGTAAGCCTAGAAAACGAGTTCCGCGAGCAACACATTTTGAATACAGCAATAGATATACTGTAAATAGTCCAGTCATATTAAGTTTTAAATCAGGAAATCTAGAAATGGATAAAATTTTAATAGAATATTTGTAGGGGATGTAGAATCAGTTTCCCCTAAAAAAAAGTGAGCTCCGACACCGGGCAAGGGTTGAAATCACCCTTTAAACGCTTTTTTATGCATTTTTTCACGTTTGTTCTCATTTTTTTCGAGAACTATAATAAATATGAAAAAATGTTTCAAACAAATGTTGTAGCGGCTACGTTTTTACAAAAAAAAGTCCGCATCTTCGCAACCTTACCTGTAACAGGTAAAAAGTTATCGACCTCTAAAGGTTGGAAAAATTCAAACCGGTGAAAATATTGAACACCCTTGGCGTACGATACTGCTGTGAGAGAGACAGAGCGATACGTTCGCGCTTGTCACTCTCATTGCATATTTTCGGGCCTAAACGCATGCATGTTAAACTCCGCCCTTTGAGGAAACAAAAAGAGAAAATACATGAAGTCAATGAGTTAGAAAAAGAGAGCCTTATTGACTGATTTTAGGCTTCTCCGGAAATATCTGACGCACAAGGTCAGTGTTTTCCTTTTCAATACATTCTCAAGTTTTAAATGTATTGACTTTTATTTCAATTAAGTTGGAATTAAAATATTCCAAGCCAAATAATAATAAATAAATAAATTAATTAATTAATATTATATAATTAATAGAATATGATATATTTATTGTGATTATAATTACAAACGGTTATTTCAATGGTTAATAAAAGAACTATTTGAGCGTAAAATTTATTTAATTTAAAAATTAAGTATAAAATCATTTTTAATAATAAATGAAATTTTATTTGAAATAAAAATTTTTTTTCTTTCATCTTCTTACTTTACATTAATATATTATTTATTTTATTTTTATTATAATTACGTAGTGCTATTTAAATGGTAAATAACACAAATAAAAAAAAACAATATTAACATAAAAATTTTTGTGTTACTGAATAATTAAAAAATAAAATAATATTTAATTGAATTTTATTTTTTAAAAAAAAATTTTTTTACATTGATTTGAATTAATGTGAAAAATATATATATATACATTCGAATCACTTTTAAATATTATTCAATATACTCTACAAAATTATATCAGTACATTCATTTTGTTTTAATAAATAAGAAAAAATAATTTGTCATTCCTAAGTGACATCGTTATTAATGAGTCATCAATGAAACATCTACAATTTCTAAAAATCGAGAATTCTTTTTTTTTCTTATTTATTAAAACAAAATGAATGTACTGATATAATTTTGTAGAGTATATTGAATAATATTTAAAAGTGATTCGAATGTATATATATATATTTTTCACATTAATTCAAATCAATGTAAAAAAATTTTTTTTTAAAAAATAAAATTCAATTAAATATTATTTTATTTTTTAATTATTCAGTAACACAAAAATTTTTATGTTAATATTGTTTTTTTTTATTTGTGTTATTTACCATTTAAATAGCACTACGTAATTATAATAAAAATAAAATAAATAATATAAAAAAAAAAAAAAATTAATGTAAAGTAAGAAGATGAAAGAAAAAAAATTTTTATTTCAAATAAAATTTCATTTATTATTAAAAATGATTTTATACTTAATTTTTAAATTAAATAAATTTTACGCTCAAATAGTTCTTTTATTAACCATTGAAATAACCGTTTGTAATTATAATCACAATAAATATATCATATTCTATTAATTATATAATATTAATTAATTAATTTATTTATTTATTATTATTTGGCTTGGAATATTTTAATTCCAACTTAATTGAAATAAAAGTCAATACATTTAAAACTTGAGAATGTATTGAAAAGGAAAACACTGACCTTGTGCGTCAGATATTTCCGGAGAAGCCTAAAATCAGTCAATAAGGCTCTCTTTTTCTAACTCATTGACTTCATGTATTTTCTCTTTTTGTTTCCTCAAAGGGCGGAGTTTAACATGCATGCGTTTAGGCCCGAAAATATGCAATGAGAGTGACAAGCGCGAACGTATCGCTCTGTCTCTCTCACAGCAGTATCGTACGCCAAGGGTGTTCAATATTTTCACCGGTTTGAATTTTTCCAACCTTTAGAGGTCGATAACTTTTTACCTGTTACAGGTAAGGTTGCGAAGATGCGGACTTTTTTTTGTAAAAACGTAGCCGCTACAACATTTGTTTGAAACATTTTTTCATATTTATTATAGTTCTCGAAAAAAATGAGAACAAACGTGAAAAAATGCATAAAAAAGCGTTTAAAGGGTGATTTCAACCCTTGCCCGGTGTCGGAGCTCACTTTTTTTTAGGGGAAACTGATTCTACATCCCCTACAAATATTCTATTAAAATTTTATCCATTTCTAGATTTCCTGATTTAAAACTTAATATGACTGGACTAAAACAAGTAGATGTGAATAAGGCATTTATTTTTAGTCGACTCAATTTATTTTGATTTTATCTAATTGACCCTTCATTTGGCCAGTACTTGAATGCTATTATGGTTATTGTTTCCTTCATTAGTACACTGAGGCAAAAAAACTTTTTATTTATTCAATATACTTTATTTACATACTATTTATTGAATTGTAAATGATTGAACTTCTAAAAATAGATTGTTTGAGGTCTTTAATTTTTGTGTTCCAAATAAATAAAAGTGAAAAGGCTTTTCTAAAATATCACCATATTAGAGGAAATATATACGTTTAACAAAACAAATTCTTAAAACTTCTTTAATAATATTCTAGTGCCTTATGCAATTTGTTAGTAATAAAATTATTCCATTATGACGAGAGCCATTTGATTTTATAAGTAGTAATAATCATTCATGTAGTTATTAGAATGTTTTTATAAAGTTAATATTTGATTTACAGAAATTTTTTCTCTTACATAATTTAGAAATTTTTTTTAATTGCCATTTCTTATATTCAATATTTTAATTTAATGTATCAAGAAAAATTGAAATGTATACATATGAACTAAAAACAAATATTGAAGTGAACGTGGAAGAGATGGATTAAATAATAAAAAGCTTCCAAAATTTTAAATAAATAGAAAATCAAGTAGTCAATGAATCTAAGTAATTTCAAAGTTTCATAAAATCATAAAAATAATTTTGCTGATTTATTAATAAACCTTTTTATGGCTTAAAAATGAACTAAGAATAAAAATTCACAACAGATAATAATTATTTAACTATGTATCATATTTAAAATGACAACTTGCTTCTTACATTTGTGAGAAAAAAGCGAAACTACTAAATATAAAAATGCCAGTATTATTTATTAAAAGTATTTTACTAGCTTATAATAAATTTCACAAGAAAGTATGTTTTTAAAATCAATTCAAATTCAATAAATAAATTCATTTTGGGTATATTTTGGTCAATCATCTAAAGAAATTTCAATGAACTTTGATAAAAAAAATAAACAAGAATCAGTAGATACTACTACTAAAAATAGATCTAACTAATGAATAATTTACCAAGTTCTACTTCTTCAGCATAAAATGTTTTATTCACAACTTCCAATAGAATTATTATTTTCTTTACTTTTTTATTTTAGAATAATTTCTTTCGTAGGAAAGAATAACAGAGACAAAATGCAAGCTTTTTTCTTCATTGAATCATGTCTGAAAAAATTTATTTAGATAAGAAAAATAAAAGAATTTGTAAACCAATAGCTTTTTTTCGATACAACTCAAGACGATGTTTATATCAAGTTTAAAAAATTTTGATCTTTTGAATTTTATTTAAAACTTTTATGAATTTTTTATTTCCTATTTGTTATCTAGAATTTTTTGTTACTGTTAGCAATTTCCAAATAACAGAGTAAACTTCCAAACGTTGTAGAAAACTTTCCGGCGCCAGACATATCGTCCTCCTATTTTCAATCCCCATAGCGCGTGAACGATTTCACTCACTCTCTTTTTCGTTTCTTCTTCGATATCCGCTCACGTAGAAGCGAAAAGTTATTAGCACGTTTTTCAACGATAACCGGTAAACAACCACGAGAATTTATCGTTTCCGCACTTTTCCAACAAACAAACAAACACGGAAAGAAGATGAGGGCTTAAAATTTGTGGTTGGAAAAGTTTTCAAGTTTTAGATAAAAATCATGAAATTTGAGTAGAAAAGTCAAAGCTTGGTCAGCCATCATAAAGATTAAGTCATCATTGAAATTACTGAGTTATGTACGTAAAGTTAATTGAATTTTTTTTTAATTATAACTTCAACTATCCAGTAAATTGACTTTTATAAAGTCAATTAGAATTTAATATTAGCATTTAATATTTGTTAATCATTTTGAAAACTTTTATTACCTTTCAAAAATTATTATTTTAGCTTTATTATATCAATCTTGACGATTTTATTAATCTTTTGTTTATCTTTTCGTTCCGTAGCATACTAATATTAATGACCGGAAATTATTTCAATATATGAAATATTTAACTTTTTACAATTACTTAAAAAATGCTCAAAAACATTACACTACTTAGCATTTACCCAGATAAATTAACATATACTGAAAATAGTTAAAAAAATAATATTTCACTTTTTTCAGTTTCAATGATTTATCTTTGCTAACGTATTCATAATTACCTCATTATTATATTAAATATTCATTAATAAACACAGAAGAGATTAAATATTTAATGTCTAGAGATAAAGTTGTAATACAAAGCCTTGTTATTTACATTATTATGTTGATGAAAGCATTGTACACAATGGAGTGGATAAAGAAATCAAACGTATTTTCCTCGTTGAAGCAAAAAATAGCGATGAAAGTCAGATATTTTCCTCTAGCTTTTATTTAAAGAGTAATATTTTAGTCACGGTCAAACATGTAAATCAAATAGCTCGACAGTTCAATCTTAGGGGTGAGAGAATGCATTTATCGTGAGGGGAGGATGACCGCAGAGTAAATATGGGACAAAGGGTTGGGGTGTGCTTCCGGTTAAGCGGTTTTCCTTGTTCGAGATTACTTCCGATAATCGTGTGAACCTGGTCTTCACATACAAGTTTTAAATCCCCTTAAAATCCTTAGTCTTTCAATTTAAAATAGGAAATAGAGCAACTGTGAGAGAGAGAGAGAAAAGGAGAAAGAGAGAGAAATAGAGACAGAGAGTAGTGTTAACTAATCCACTGAATGGATAAAGGTTTATTCATGCTCTCATACGTACATTTAGGTATTAAAATTATTATCCAATGGATACAAGTAGTTGCATCATATTTTACATTGAAAGGGAGATTCGCACGAATACCTTGAATCCTCTTTATATGTTGACGCATGAATTATTTCATACGTATTTTTAATACTCCACTTACTTTGGTTGTTACTTAGCACTTTGGTTCTGACATTCGTCTGGCATCTTTCACTGTTTTTGATGATGAGAAATACACTGTTTAGGATGGTTATCATCTTGGAAAGATTATTTTTTTACTATTAAAATAAATATCTTTGTTACTAAATTATTCTATGATCTATTTAAATCCTTTAATAATTTTACATATTTGATAAAAGTAGTACCTTTAACTATAAATAGTTTGTACTACTAGATCATTTATTACAAACGAATCTCTTTTCATTCATGATATATTTTTGCATCATTCTATAATTATATTCAGTAGTAAAATGTTTAATAACTAGAATTAGTTTTTTTAAAAAGTAATCTAGAATTTAGAAAAATTTATTTCAAAACTCGTTACCAATATTTTCAATAACAACTTTAGCTATTATGATTCTAAAACAATAAAAATATATTTAGAACTTAAATCACAAACATTCACTCTGTAGATGACAATTTTAGTTAAACCAATCTTGATTTCAATTTAAAATGAAATAATATTGTTACATTTGATGTTACCTTGTTTTATGTGTTGAATTGAAAAACATTTGTTTGAAATTATTAATTGGTTTTAAAATATTTTGGATGCATCAACTTTCCAAGATGTTAAGTCACTATATATGACGATGAAAGTAGAGAGTACAAGGCAAAATGCTGATGAAAACATGCAATACATGCAGAAAAAAATTTGTTCCGAATTTCTTAGTTGATACTTGTTGATACACGAATGGGAGAAGAGAAACTCTCCCTTCGTTGAAATTGACATTCCAAACTTTTGAATTTGTACAAAACCCTGTTTTAAATACCCCTAAAACGCGAAATTAGTTGATTTGAGCTTGCTTGAGCTTGCATGGCGGGTTGTGGTTGTTTCAGGCAGCAGCAGCGGCCGCAGCAGCATCTCCACTCTTGAAGACACCCTTATCGACAGCTCAACAGGCCACTTATGCAGCAGCAGCAACATATACAGCAGTAGCTGCACGAGCTTATGGTGCAGCCGCAGCAGCCGCACAACCAGTTGCTGGATACGCCGCAGTGGCGGGGTGAGTTTATTATAAATTCCTCAAGAAAGTCATACTACATCTTCCACAACTACTCATAAAGCTAATTCCATAGTAACTACTCCTTTTGTTTTAACCCTTCTGAAACTTCCTTGAATCCTTTGCAGAGAAAATATAAGACGTGGTCGAGCTTTACGTAGTCGCAAGTTTGAAGATATTCCTGAATGTCCTGACAGTAAATTATAAAATTCGATGTTTGTATTTATTCTACTTCTTTTTATCCTACTTATTTCCTTTTATTTCAACTATTTTTCCATTTCGTATAATCATCAAAGGAACTTTTATTTTCTTAATATTAAATTATTAAAGTGAGTATTTAGTATTTTTATTTTATTTATTGATTTCATCTTTACCTGAATATCTTATTTAGAATATTAAAATTTAAATAAATCTCAGAGGAGTGCTTTTCAGTTAATGAAAATAATAATTTTTAGTAATAAAGAAAATAAGAATTCCTCTTTTATTTCCAAATATACGGATAAAACTTGAAGGAGATTATTTATGTGATTAATTCTTTCTAGGTACGGACGTGAGTATGCTGACCCTTATCTCGGACATAGCATTGGACCCATGACAAACTACGGAGTAAGTACATCAATCTTTTACTGTACAATTTTAGATAGGATCTATGAACTTTTACTGATCAATTTTAAAGAGTTTTACTTCAGTGACATAGAGTTTTATATTTTATTTTACTTTATTTTTTTGTTTTGCAATTAATTGTTACTACATTTCTAAACTGAAAAAAATACTTCATAATTTAACAAAACTTTTTCTTTCAACAGGCGACAGTATATAGAGGTGGATACAACAGGTTTACACCATACTAAAGAAAGATAATAAGACTTTCCATTGAGGTTTGCACCGCTTAATATCAAGCAGATCACGACCAGAAGACACGAAATAATAATTCATTCATCTCCAAGAAACAGAGTTCCTGAACAATTTTCATGAGTCTGTATGATATTCTCGCAGCAAAAAAAATATATAAATCAAGAAAAAATTTAGTAGAAACAGAAAACACATTAATAAATCGTGTATGTACTCAATGATCTCAGCTGAATCTCCTGGACGACTGTTCGTGTTTCACGGCAGCACTAACCCTCCGAGCGACATTGATGAAGAGGATCACGAACGAGAACGTATAGTTGGATGTATAGAACAGCAAGATAAAAAATAGAATAGATAGGTGGTAAATTTCCACGAATTCATTGGAAACAAGTAGGAAAGAAGAGGATGGAACGTGAATTCTGGACCGTTGTTATTGGGAAATTTGTCGCTTGGGTGCGACCTCCTGGATCGTTGCAATTGAAATTGACAGCTCGCTTCATGGGCGACAGTCGTTCGCGGTTGGGGTGATGGGGCTGTGACACTGCGAATTTACGTTGTCATCCATCCGAAGAAAAAAAACGGCTCGCGGCCGCATTTCGATCTATTACAGTAACGGGAGATTAAATTTGATCAGAGTTAATCTACGAATAAAAACGTTGAAAAATTAACAGAACTTTAAAAAACTAACAGAAATAAAATCTAAAATATCATAGAGAAGTGATATTATGTCAAGGAATTCTGTAAATTCGCACAACACTCCATATATGCACATTAAAATGAAAACCAATTCACAAAGTACTCATCACATAAAATCATTCGCCAAATTGTAATATAGTTGTATATCAAGTATTGACTGCATTCGCTTTTAAACGTTTACATGTATAAATGATTTAAAATCTAATTATTTTGTTTATCAATGTACTGTCGTGCTCGCAAAAATGTGTCACAGTGTCCCCAAATGTCACAGCACACTACTCCTATTTCTTGCAAAAGTGAGATTGACACAAATAAAATAATAATTATTAAAATAATAATGATACAAAGGAAATTAAGAAAAAGGAATGAATTATAATAAGACAGAACAACAAAATAATTGTAAAATCATGAAAAATTTTTAGGTAGCTAGTTTACCATTAAGATAAGTACGTAAGTTGGTAGATTTCTATGCCAAATATGTGTGTAGGTCATTTACAAACCAAACGTCTAGGTACAATAGAGCGTTTTAGAATAAACTGCAGCAGGAAAACGTTATAAAATAAAAAATACGTTTTTAAAATGATGAAAAACGAATAAAAAAATACTAAACTAGACCGTATATACCGGATTCTGGTAAATATAAAAAAAGAACAGGGTCTAGTCACAGTTATACTCTCTACCGAAAACAATCAAATGTTTTTTTTAATTATTGTTCTTTATTTTTAAGATATTTTTTCCTACGTTCATTAAATTATTATTACATTCATGGACCAGAAGGTCACTTTGATGGTGTGTACGGTCTGGATGGAATTTTTCCTGTAAAAAAATTTAACACATAATTATCAGTAATGTGGATACATATTAAAAGCAACAAACCTACCGTAACTTATTTATTTAGTTAATCAAAGCCTACATGACATGTTTTCTATTTTTGTTTTTTTTTTATATTTAGTATGTAGTTATTAACGAATTAAAATATAATTGTAAATTAACTGTTAAGTTAATTATTAATTATTTGATAAATTTTTGCATGGAATCTCAGTCAATTCTGAGTCAACCATAAAATCATTGAAATATCAGTAAAATTCGGGAAATACATATATTTGATCTAATTAACGTTTCAGTTGAAAATGTAATAAATATTTTCCACGAGTCATCTCGTAGACTCTGTTGGTTAGACAGAGCTTTTAATACGCTCTGCATCCGTATAATTCATTTTAAGGGGCTCGTGGATAAAACGAGCAAACTTCATATGAGTAGAGAGATTAAATGGAAATTGGTACGCACACATTAAAGTTGAGCGAGTGATATTTCCTGTTAAAAAATTAGTTTAAGCGAAGATTTATCATATAAGTGAGAGCACGTGAGACTTTTTGCGGGCTTTATTGTATATGTGAATGAAAAAATGTGTGTAAGTGTGTAATAGAAAACGAGAGAAAGAGCGGAAAGATAAAAATTTGGGTGATTACTAAAAAATACAAAAAAAGAGTCGTGTGAAATAGCCAAATATGACAAAGATGTTAGGAATACGTTAATACTACAACAAAAATACTGTCGTTATGTTTTAATATAATCTTGCTAGGCTAGAATAGAATAGATGATTATAAATATAAATTAAAATTAATGAAAAATAAATAAAAAGAAATAAAGTAAAGTACATGATATAGAAAAATAACTTTTCAATGGATCTAAATCAGCAGTGGAGCGAAATAAATAATAAAAAGAAGTGAAATTACAAATTTGGTGATTGAAATAAATTGCCGATTGTGTAAATAATATGACAAATAGTATCAAGCACAAATCACTGAGAAAAAGAAAGAGTTGATAATTAAGTAGAAATTACATTTGCAAACATACTCACTTCTTATACTAATTATAGTAATTTAATAAATAAAAATACGTAGATTAATTTAAAAAACAATCTAGAGATTATAATAAAATAAAATAATAATAATATTAATAATTCAGTCATAAATGACGTATGTATTTTAACAGCAACACACAAATTCTGTTCAATGTTTTGAGCGAGCTCTCTTCTCTTTATCGACAATGATCGTCACAAGCGAACAATTCGTTAATCATTTCAATATCTTTATAGTCTTATGTTTAATTCTCACATATGAAATTTGAGTGTTTATCCACTGAATCAAACGCTTACTACATTTTGCTATTTCAAATTCAACAATAGTTAAGTACCAAACCAACTTGTAAATCCGTAAACAAACTGAAATCCTGTAAATTGTATACTGTAATTACAATTCATACTCATTATTATTACCTCTGTCGGTAGGCTATAAAAATAATTAGAATTTAGAGATAAGTCAAGCTCAAATTTATTTGGAGACTCCTTTTTTCATTGATTGTAATGAATAATCATGATTATTATTAATTAAATATTAATTATTAATTATAATTTAATTTAATTAATAATAAGTATAATGGATAACATCCGTTAATTTCTTTTTTCTGTCATATGCACAATCACTTTTTGTAATAAATATTCTGATAATATTTCGTATGTTTTAAGTAGATTACAATATCCCAAAAATAGGCCTATCTTCTGAATCTTCTCATTTTTTATCTCATTAGATTATGAAAAATAATTCAAATAATTTTTTTCAATGATAATTTGACGAAATCGTCGATAAAGACTCGTTTAAAGATATTTTCATTATACTCTAATTGCGTAAAATATCTTCAATGATACACACTGATAACTGCTATTTAATTACAATGAACTTTTAATGAAAAAGAAAAACAAATAAAACGTGTAGATGGAAACTAATATGACACATCTTTTAACAACAACATATCCTAGTGTACGAGTCAGGGCATTGCCCAGAAATTTATTCACGTATCATTGTAATAATTGGTAATTTAATTGCATTAAACAAAGGTTACTGGCAACTAGAAGCTCATTAAATAAGATAACTATCGTAAGATATTTATTAACTGAATGTTTAATTCATGTTGTAATTTGAGAATGCGAATTAATGTCTGTTTTATAATTCATTATAAGAAGTTGATTTGTTTCAAAACACCTATGTACATAAGATTAAAAAATTCATCTCGTTTCGCACAATTGCCAGTAGCCAATGAAAAAATCATGGTAAAGTTTTGTAATTTTCTCTAAATGATTTCTATGCACTTAATTGGTAGGACCAGATATGGGTTCTATGTTTGAGAATGATATTTGGAGGTACAGAAAAAAAAATTAATAAATAAAATAAATACAAAATAGAAGGAGAGAAATATTCCATGACATTAGAGCGTTTATGTATACTTTATACTATTTGCGAGTGCGTGTATGGCAAAATTGACATAGTATATTTCTATGCCACTTATTTGCTTCTCGCAGTGTAAATTATATTGAGAGAAAGTGAACGCAATGGATAACAAAAAAAAAAAAAAAATAAAATAAAATAGCGTAAATTATTTTTACGCATATGTTGGATAAACGAAAGAATAATCAATAAGGAAAAAAAGGAAAATATACAAAAAAAAAAAAAGTTAATATAACTTGAGATTTAATTTAACAACAAAAGGAATAGCGATAGAATTACAAGGTGTTGATGAATAGCACCTTTATCATTGTCTAATTTAAAGAATTTTGTAAGTCTGGACCAGCTATTAGGTTCTTATTATTCCCATAGTGACTTCTTATGGTGTATTTTCCCTGTATATTATCAATGTTTATTATTAAATATTTTTCAAATAATGTTTATGGCTTTTTCAATTCATTTAAAAGATCTTTAAACATTATTATTATTTAACCTTAACTACTCGACACTTACAATTTTTCTACTCGATAAACTACTCCAAAATTTTTTTCATAATGATAGATTGTTAAGCAAAATTCCTATCAATGAGTTCCACATTTAAACTTCGCGGAATTACAGATGTCGCTAACATTCATTCATTGCATTAGTATATGTCGCATCTATTTATTGCAAAAATACTAAATCATTTATACATATATACTACGCGTGATGCTATTGGTGTAGGTTAGTGGGTCACACATGCGCAATCAGTTTTTGATAATGGAGACTTTAGTGAAGTTGAGTAAGTGATATCAACCACTATTTTGTTTATTTTTCATCAAGGTTCGATATTATATGAATAAATAATAAACCAGTGGTGATCATAAACATAAAAGATACTCTAATTTTTATATTTCATTATTAAATACATCGCTTTTATGGTCACGTTTCTATCTGGTAATGTCTTCTTATACATACGGACAAAAAAGATTTATTCCTGTTCCACCAGAAAAAGGCAGTTTTCCTCTAGATCATGAAGGTGTTTGCAAGAGTTTGATGATCAATTACATGAATTGTATTAGTGAAAATAGAAACAGCAATACACTTTGTAGAGATGCTGCCAAAGAGTATCTCGGATGTCGGATGGATAACCATCTTATGGCTCGTGAAGAATGGTCAAAGCTAGGATTTAAACAAGATAACGATTCATCAACAACGTAACAATTTATTCAATATAAATATATATCAACACATTTAATATAAATACATATATATATATATATATATATATTTAAAGTCAAAGGTATTACACTCAAAAGATAATAATAATAATACTAGATACAAATAAACTTTTAGAAGCTTCAAAGAAAAATCCGCAAGAATAATCAATTAATCAAACGATTAAATATCAATTGAATACAAATATTGTAAACACAATTACAGAAAATAAAGTTTAATGAGTGAACAATAATAAATCATTGAGCTGTGAAAGCTTTAAAGAAAAACTAACCTAATAATCGATTAATATAAGAGGATTGATTAAATTTTATCAAAATTGCTATCACGAAACTCGTCAATAAAGCTAAAATTAGTAGCAAATACATAAAAGCGTCCAATGACCGTAGTGCAAATTTAGTAAATTAGTCTTACAGTAGAAATTGACGAATAAATATCTATTCTAAACAGATAAACAACTAGATTTACATGATAAAAATATATATTTATTAGCCTTGATGGGTAGAAGATTGTTCATAGTGAAACAAATTTAGAATATACAGAAGTGTGAATAAAAAAAGATAAAACTATATGAAAATAAAAAACAAATAAATATTACAAACAGAATAAATCAATAAATTATTGATAAAAATAGAAAAAAACATAAATAACTATAGCTTTTTATTGATATCTTGTGTCAAATAAATTGTTAAACGAAGGCATTATTATTATAGTCCACTGGTTTCTGATGACTTCAGTGTCAATAACAATAAATATTGCATTTTGTTAACGGCAAGTTACATAATTTTTTTATAAAATATTTTTGAATGAAACCACTTTGCATATCGCTAATAATTTTTGCCTTTCTGCAACTGCCATCAACCATAACAACTTGTGTTGAATTATTAATTAATCAGAGAATTAAGAACATATTATCTTAATAGTTTTTAATAATTATCATTAATATATAACTGTACAAACAACACTTATTGAAAAGATCAATACGCTTAAGGAGTATACAAAGTGGAATATGAATTTTTTATTGAAACACTGAACAGAGATTGCTTAAAGAAAGTGCGCTTATTTCTGCAGAAAAATAATGGCTTCGAAAAAGAAAGTTCTTATTGGTTGTACTGGAAGTGTTGCAACAATAAAATTACCTTTGATTTGTCAAAAATTATGGGATCATAATGTGGATTTTCGAGTGGTCGTAACAGAAAGGGCTAAGCATTTCATCAAAGAGTCAGAGTTGCCTCCAGGTACTCAGATCCTTTCAGATACAGTTGAATGGGCTGCTTGGCAAGATCGTGGAGATCCTGTGCTGCACATTGATCTTGTTAAATGGGCGGATTTATTCCTGATAGCTCCACTGGATGCCAATACCTTAGGCAAACTTGCTTCTGGCATTTGTGACAACATATTGACGTGTGTTGCCAGAGCTTGGGATCCTTCGAAGCCTCTATTATTTTGTCCTGCTATGAATACTAAAATGTGGGAGCATCCAGTAACTGCACCACAGGTAAATTAATTTGTCTATCTACTCAAAACTAACTAAAGTTTCTATGGTAATCAAAATCAAATCACTAATTAAAGTATCTATTTACATTTCTTGTTATTCTCAATATTTGTTCTTTTGCAGTCAGAAAAAGATTAAATTGTTATTTGTCTGTCATTCTAGGTTGCTCTACTGAAATCATGGGGATATAAGGAAGTAAATTGCATTTCTAAGACTTTAATGTGTGGAGATACAGGGATTGGTGCGATGGCAGAAGTTGATACGATTGTTCAAGCAACGCTCAGATCCCTAAATCCTTGGGATCCTTATTCACCACCAGATAGGTTTTATTAAAAAAAATTAAATATAAATTATTATCATGTATAAAAAAAAAAAATTAATCGATTAAAAAAATGAAAATATCAATTGTCAATATATGTACGTTACAGCGAATAAATCGACGATTTTTTCTAATTTTTTTCTTAATTAATTGTATAGATACTTTGGAATAATTTCAATATTTTTATAAACTTATTTATGAATTTAATTATAGTATCAAAAAAAAAATATGTTTTATAAATATTACCACAAAATAATATAAAAAGCTTAAAATAAAATCGTTGAGCCATTTAATGGCTCATTTTATCAAAACACATCAATTTGTACACTGAAATATATTACTGTAAAATATGAATTCATTACAAATGGTCAAAAAAAGCAGTTTCCAAATTCGTATATTCTGTTGAAATTTGAATAATTTGGCACTCTTTTAACATTTATTTTGCAGATGGTGCTTCAACAGTAGAATGGCCAAGTAAATAATAACTATGTGAATTATAGGATTATGTTATACTATTTGTTGCATTATTTATTTGTAGTTATCAAACTAAATATTGAATAAACATAATTATTTAAAAAGAAGAAATCAATAAAAAATACTATTACTACGTTAATGTTTTTTTGTGCTTTTACAATTTGAAACAACCAAAGCGTCATCGATTTATAAAATTAATTAATTAATAATTAACCAAAAGATTATGAGAGTTCATTCAAAATCTTATGCTGAAACTATTGTGCAGCATTGACTCAACAAATCTAAACATAATCAGAATAATATTTAATATATGTAAAAATAGTAATAATTATAATAGAGACAATATATAGTAACAGCTGAATAATTTATAGAATCAAACTTTTCTTGTTTAAAGAACAATAAAGAGAATAGAAAAGATAAATAAAATAATTTTTTTTCAAATGATTGTTTATCATGTTGAAAACAGAAAATTAAAAAGAACATTAAAGAATTACGAAAAAGGATGAGGAAATTATTGAATTGCTAACACATTCGACTTTTTTTTATTCGAATTTTTATTACAAGGAGAATCTTTAAAGATAGTTTTCTATACATTTATTTGAATTCGTGTATTTCTTTTACTCATTTATTTATTAGTTAGTCTAAGAGTTGCACATATTTATTCTGCGACAATTTCGTCCGATATTACGAAATTTTGGAAGCAATCAAACACATTATTTGATTGTTCACAGCTCACAAAAAATAAATCACTGTTCCATATATAAACATTACTGATTGTTTTCGAAGATGAACTTTACATTGATGAGTATAAAAAATTGATCTACAAATTTCTGAATTTTTTATCATTCTTACAATATAACTTATGACTTGTTTAGTGTATATTTATCGTGTATACATAAATATCATTTTTAAGTATTAAATTATTATTATTATTATTATTATTATTATTATTAATATTAATTAAAGTGTTAATAACTAATGTTATTATATTTTTGTTTTAATTAATATTAATTGTAAATTGAGGGATTACTTCCATTTCCCATGCTATTTTTACATTCGTTTTTTTATTACATTTACATATCACAGTTTATAAAACTGATGCACAAGTATGTGCTATGAAATTAATATATCTTGACCGTTATTTTTTAGGCTTTCTTTGCTCTATAGCAATCATGGGACGGAAGTTATTATAACGTGTACAAATATAAATTAAATATTTTTGTTAAATACATTAACGTACATACAAAATATAATAAGTAATTTTATTGTTTAAAATGTATAATTAAAAGAAACTCTTTCCTATCTAACAGTAAACAAAGTCATTAATTGATTTTGAGTATTTAATTTAATATTCAAACCGCTATGGATCTTAATTAGCTATTAAGATTTAAAAAAGCCAAATAATTTATTAGAAAAATATTTGAAGTTATTCTAGTATAAACTTCATTGGTTTTTTCCAAAATTAGCTAACAAAATCTACTTTGTTTATATAGTGATGGAATATTTTAATATTTTTTTATACATTTTTTTATAAAATTTATTTCTAAGCTTACGAAATATTTTAAAAATCTCTATAAAAATCATTGTTCATTTCCTATATTCCTATTAAAAAACATTATTCAATCTGTTTTTATAAACATTTTTTCAATAACTCGTTTTAAATTTACTTTCATCTGTTTTACATTTTAAATTGCACTTTGGCAGTGACAAGACTTTGAATGAATAAATGGTTTCAATTAAAAATTTTTTTAGTGTTCTACTGCATTTCTATTATGTTGAAACAAGGCACAAAAGAGGAGAAAATCCTTTGCATTTATCTTTTTCAACGAATAGAATCGTTGATTGTCTTTTCAATTTACGGACATAATCCTGTAGCTTAATGATCTAAGTAATTCTCACTGCTAGTAAAGCAACAAGCAGAGAAATTACAAGAGGTGACGGAACTATTGGCATGCTAGCAGCACTTTCGACAATTTTCGCTCGTTTCGACGGTAAATCTACATCATTAGTCTCTATTTCAGGTGGGCAATTCATCCAAAATTGAGCAGAAGGTCTTGGTTTTTCGTGTGCTACCCTCATTCTAAGATCGTCAAACTCCCAAAATCCTTTTCCTTTGAAAAAATATGTTTTGCCTAAAAAAATAAAATAATTGAAATTCATTTTATAATAATAACTCTATTAAAGAAGAACTTCAATAAATTTTTGACTCTGTTTTACGATTTGATAAGAATGTATTTTTTCGTTACTTCTTTTATAGAGTAATAGATGTGCTAGTGACCTATTGAATTACCATTTTTCCATTGAAAAACTGCATCTATATTATATCCAACTCCTGCAAACATGCTCATGTCTCTGGGGTAATCCAATTCCACAAAATTAACCATCTCGTCAAACCTGAAAAAGCAATTTTACACTTTAATGCCATTTTCCCTCTTAAACGAAGGAAATTATTCACTTTAGGAAGTTCATTTTATGTTATATTTTAATTAAAGTAGGTACAAAAATAATAATAATTAAAAAAAGAAATTAACCTCCAGTACATGGTACCACTGAAAAAGTAAGTTTTGCTATTATGACCCCAGACCATAGCTCCATCAATCTTCTCAAGACTAGCTGGTAATCCCAAGGTTCTCAGTTCCTTTGGATAGCCAGGTTCCAGCTTATGTGCATTGAACACATAGTAATTCTTCCCTATGAAGAATACGATCTTCTTGTCTAGTCGCTCGTACACAGCATCAACGTGATCAATATCTTCCGGAAGATTGAAAAGTCGTGTTATTTCGGCAGGATACCCTTCATATAGACCATTATCTCCTATCCTCCAAAGATACTAGAATTCATCATAAAATATTTATTAAAATAAGAATTATTGTCTTTTAACACGAGAAATAATTTGAATATTTATGTATGAATGATTTATTCAATAAGTAAATTATTCGTGGAACTTACTCGGCCCTTAAAAATAAACACTTCTCTTCTGATGATACTAATGGCATCATAGGTCGTGTCACACTTATCAGGAGCATTGTCCTTAGGTCTTGGGGTCCACCGATATCTCGGTCTCTGAGTTGGTGGAATAATTGTTGTAGTGGTAGTTGGATGATGGCGATGGGGCTTCCTTGGTCGTTCTGGCCAAACAGGTCTCTCAGGCATTTCAGTTCTGTAATCTGGCTTGTAGGGATAATGGCCCTGAGGTCTGTATCCTTGTCGTTCTCGCTCATCTGGATAAGTATTTGGTCTTGTCGGTCGCGTTCTCCAGGGTTTTCTAGTTGGTCGTGGTCTCGATGTCGTAGTAGTTGTGGTAGTAGTTGTAGGTCTTGTATAAATTGGTGGAAATGGAGACAAACCACCTGGTAAATTTCCCCATAATTTTTCTTCAGGTGCACCTGCAATAAAGATCAAATTAATATTTCTATTATGGCCACCTAGTAATTTCTATTAACTAAAATTAAAGTTGATTGGTTCAAATAGTTTAAATGAGATTTTATGAGATATTTTCTACTGCCAAATTGAAAGTCTAAATGAAAATAAACTTCTTAGAGATGTTTGAGAAATTACTAAAATGATATTCAATGAAGTATATCCTTATTTTGCCTTTCACCGATAATCAATTGAGAAAACAAACAGATTTCTAGGTGAATGAGATTATTCTTGAAGTTTATTTGCATTAATAATAATACAAAAAGTTAAAAAAAAAATTTCCTACTTTTAATGCTATAACTTGATTAAAACATTCATTTACTTAAAAAGCACATTTGCCAGAATATTCAATTAATTGGAGAAAAAAATTGATGAAGAAAACTTTTCTCTAAGTATAAGAAATTATTTTTATAGAACAAAAATAATCAAGTCTTCTTTTATCATTTGAACCAATTTTTCAATTTATAAACACGTTAAATTCAATAAAGATTCGTCACAAAATGTAAGCTTGGTGGTAACTGATGTACAACTTAATTTATCGAATAACTTGCTGAACTTATCAGACCTTTTTAGCAAGTCTTGAGATGCAAGCAATCAAAAGAATAGCCAAGAAAGGTGTGAGGTTGTAGAATCCACATCTTTCATGATTATTTCATTCTATCTCTCAAGAGTTCAGTCTACATTTTTCTGATTTTGCTACTCTTTCGAGCCAACAGTTTTCCCAAGGGAATCCCATTATCCTTGCGACCTCATTCTCTCTGTCTACTCATACTTCTTCCTTGCTATTTCGTTTTCTCTTCCAACTAACTTCCGTTCTCGACGATTTAATCCCGGTGATTCAACCGAGGAAGATGCTACAAGCCCGCAAGGTAAATGAGTCTTTCACCCTAACCGAAGACGTCTTCCACACTTCCTTGTACTAATTTACGATGCTCAACAATCATCGAGTCCTCATTTCTTCCTTTCGTTACGGATATTTCATTCCGGAGGTTAATATTATTACTTCTCGATATTCGTTTTTCTTTACTGAAGGAGTGTTTTAATGTTAATCTGGCGTCAAATATTTTATAAAATAATATTTAAAGAAGCTAAAAGTTTTTTTTTCTATTTGCTTAATTGAAGAAAAATGTTAATTATTTTTTTTGTCAGGAAACTCAGGTTGATCAATTTTAATAATGTTTTTTAAAATGGAAACTTTAGAGTCACAGATGTGTCCAATAGATTTCTTTTTCAAAACTATTTTCAACTATTTCCATCCGTAGGTTTATTCAGTTGAATGACTGAATGGCAAAAAATTATTTTTAAATTTATATTCTCTTTCACGATAATTCTTCTAATTTTTCTTTTTTTATGAATTAGGTCATGCTTTATATGATACAATTCATCATTTTTAGTGATAAAAAACTTCAGAAAATGTCTTTGGCACCTATTTATTTCAATTATTACAATTACCAATATTAAGACACAAAAACCTGAGCTACTTGGTTTTTTGTGCAATTACTTAGAGCACCGTTACTAAGAAAAACATTCAAATAATGAGTCAGTTATTTTCTATTCAGTGACTATAACAAAAAAACAATATTCAAGAAAAAACTTTTAACTCTTTAATGATGTCTAAATGATTTTTGTGAATCATAATTAAAATACAGTGATGGTAGAATTTTTCTGTGTTTTTTATTTTAAAAAAAAAGCAAAGTTAATTATTATTAATTAATTGATTAATTAATTATTAAAGTCTAATAAAATAAAGGTATTATTTGCGGTCATAAACTTAACAAATAAATAAAATTAACAACAGTTCTTATTACTTAAGAAGTCATTATTTAACGATGAAAATAACGAGTTGGTTGGATCGCTCGTTTCCTAAACTAGGTGCAAGCCACACGAGTAGTACTACTTCAGAATCGTGCTCAGGCAACTGGAATTGGTCTGGTCGACACTTAAACCAGAAACTCTGTTCGAGTACTAGCGATAGAGGAAAAGCTAATCGTAAACCACATTCTAAAGCCTTCAGCAGTTCTACCATTTTATACAATCATCCTTTCCTTTCTCCAGACCCTTGAAATGACAGGACTTGGCTAAGGAAATAGACCCAGGTGCACTTGGGTTTCCGGTCTCGTCTCTAATTCCGCTTAGAAGGATCTCCCGTAAGGGGACACGCTGGATGAACGTCCAGGCAAAATGTTCAAGACATTATTGGGTATAAAAAGCATGGATATACTCTGGGAATTCTTGATACTGAAGATTATGTGGCTTTCCATTTTCTACGACAGAAAACGAGGGCAAGAAACGTGACACGACTCTTATTATTCGGAGCATTTTTATTATAACAAAAGATATTTTTCGATATTTTTAACCAGAGATAAATATTTGTAATAAAAATGAAATTTTTTGTGACCAAAATCGAATAAAATTGGCATAATGAATAGGGTACAAATGATATCTAGCAACAAAAATTCTTATTCATCAGTTTTTCAAAATTTTTTCTTCATTCTCTGATGACTAAGAATAACTTTCACAGCCATTACTTGAAAAATTTCTCGAATGATTAATGGTATAATATATTCTATGATTTGCAAAGTTTTGAACTAAATTGTAGTAAATATATATTTTAAAAATACTATACAATATTAGTAACAAAATAATTTCTAAAATCAATTACATTAAAACTTAATCATAAAAATGGATTATTGACAAAAAGTTTGATACATTGAACTAATCATTTATCAAAATATTAAATATAAATCAATCTTATTTTCAATTTATGATCGTATTATAGTGTAACATGTTATCCTATCAAAATGTACTTGAAGTACTTTCATGTCGACATTCACTACAAAACGGAACGTTTGACCTTTCGAGAAGCAATCCTGTCAAAAACAGCATTTCCAGAATTCAAAATATAGGAATGTGATATGTTGAAAATGAATTTGCGAAGTATACTTTCGTCAAATATGAAAGTACTTCTTAATTTATTGGCATGTGTCAACAATTATTTGTTATATCTTATTTAGAACTTTTCCAAAAAGTATATATTTATCAATATACATTGAACATAAATGATTGATTGATAAACTTTTAAAAGTTATCAGAAATTTTAATCAGTTTCAATTTTGAAAAAGCTTATGTGATAACTTTTAATAAACTCTTCTCAGATAATTATTCATAAACTATTCCATTTACTTTGGTTTTTTTTCGTAGAAATAACACTATAAATGTTGAAAACTTTATTAATAATAATCCATGTCTCAGAGTAGCATCATTTTTTGTCAAAAAGTGAGGTAATTTAAAGTGTTTTGAAATAACTATTAGTAAAAAAGGAAAAAGAATAATGTGAAAGAAAAGAGTGTTGTAGTTTACGTATAAAAAAGTGTCTTGAACTTCTTCATGAAAGTAAATAGCCAACAAACAATGGATATTGCAGACTACAGTCAGCTGGGTTTAATGAGAAAAAATATCTGCTTCTAAGCAGCTTAAAAAATTAGTAACAAATTGGAAAAAAAGATCTCAAATGTTAGACTGGATTAACGATAAATAATAAACTTGATGATATTTTTAAAAAAATTACATGCAAGAAATGTCGAAAAAAGAAAGTTTTACTTAAAATACATTTTAATATTATAAAATGTTTCTTAAAAAATGGTAGTATATTAAGCAAAACTTTCATAAAAGATTATGATGAAATAGAAACCTTTCAAAAGTTTTATTTTTCTTTTAGATTTTCTGTAAAACCATATTTGTCAAATTTTTTCAACTAAAAGAATTTAATCTGTTTTTATCATTGGCAAAGAATTTTTTCTAGAAGAAAGTTTTAACTCAAAGAAAAGTTCAAGTTCTTCAAAAAGAACTAAATCAAATTTATGAACAACGGAAAAGGAAAAATCAAAAGTGTATGGAAATTGATGGGAAATGTTGGGCGGGTGAGTTAGAAGGGTGGGAACGATGAAAAGGAAATGAAGCGAAATGACGACAGGAAGACGATGAGAAAATTAAGTAGGAAGGAGGCAAGTTTTCTCTAGTATAAGGATGTGTCCTACTATCAAGTAAAAGACGAAGACAAGTAACTACTACTATAAGTCAAGTGGTTGTCGTGGACTAAATAATTACTGAAGAGCCGTTTAATGGCGTCTTGGCTTTCTCCAATACTCTTTAATTATATTTAAAGACTTTGAGTAAACCAAAACTACAGGCGATATTTAATAATAAAGATAATAAGATTGGATTCATGATGTAATGATTGAAATATAAAATTTACTAGACCTGAAAGTGATAAAAATAAAATGAGCATCAAGAACATTTAATCTCCCTAAATTATTGATGTTTGAAACTTAACTACTTGATAAAATTTTTTTACACATAGATATCCCACTTGATAAGTGAGTTTCAAGAAAACGTTGGATATAAAATAAATGAATTTATTGATTGATGAAAAAGTGTTGAAAGGTTATCTGAAATACTTTTTTTTATCTTTTCATCGACCGTACATATATAACAGAACTAATAAAAAAAGTGCAAAAAAATGGAAATTAAATGGCTTCTATTGTCAGCAAAACAGCCAACATAAATTCCAAAAGGTTGGGGAAGATTATCAGCATGACAGAAACAGAATAGGGAAACACTACAAGACATGTCTGACTATCGATCAACTTGCACTACTTATACATTATGAGTTGGGAAGCCTACTAAGGAAAATGTTTAATAAGTTGTGAGCATCTTGGTCGTTCAAGATTTTATGATATTCTGCTTTTACCGATGTCTTATAACATTAATTCAACGATTTTCACTATCTTTATATCATCTCTTATAATTTATTATATTGATCGTAGAACTTAGGTGATATTACCTTTAAATACAGGCTACAATGACGCTTTATAGTTTGCTCTTAGAACTAAGTTTTGTCATCTAAATTTCCGAGACTTACCGTACATCTGCTGAATCCCATTTCTATCGTCCTCCGGAAGCTCATAATTTTGAGAAATTCCTTGGTACCATGGGTACATCAGAGCACCTCGTACCGAACTGTGAGCCAGACCAAGTGAATGCCCAAACTCGTGAGCTGCCACCGCAAACAGACTTGTTCCTAAAACCCAAAATGACCTAAGTTAAGAGATTATTTCACGTGAACATTATACCCAGTAAAAGAGAAGCTAATTTATTGAGTTTATGTTAATATGTCCAACAATATATTTTATACAAGGTTGCTGTGAATGAAATTTCTAGCTTTTCATCATGTTTAAACTTTCAATAAATTGTGTAAAGCATTGATAATACAATCGGTGTTCTTCTTGAATTAATATTAGAAAAATTTAATTAAAGTATAAAAATGATTTTATTGTCAAATGAACTGTATTTTTTTATAAAAGATTCTTAAGATTGAAGTGTTAATCTGTTAAATAATAAAGATAAAAAACATGAAAAAATAAAGGCATTTAAGTGAGAATTATATAGATTTCATATAATCTTTTCATCATTCTCTTCTCTTATATTCTTGCTACAAATTCGCTCGTTTATTCTATCGTAAAATAACGAATCAACATAACACTTATTTGACCTCGCGTGCTAAGTTTTTTCCACCCAATTGCTTTGGAGATTGCCATGCTGGATCTTATACTCTTTCTTCCTTATCTTGACACATTCAACATTTTCCTTCTTCTCCTTCTTCTTTATTCACACTCTACCTTTTTCATAGAATTTTTTCTTATTTTTATTGCTTGTTCACTTCCATTTGCTATCAATTTTTAGTCGAGATTTTTTTGTAATTTTTTTATATAGCTCGTTGGATATTTGAAAAAAATTCTTTGCTATTGAATTACTTAAAGAAATTGAAAGCTTGTGAATAAAGTAATGGCAGCTATGACATAGAAAAATTTCTCGACAACACCATTGGAAATGAAATAGATTGCGATTATAAAGAATTAATTTGTTTCAATAATGTTGAATAAAGCAGTTGTTGTAGTATTGAACAATACATTTTCCGAAAACTTTACTTCATTATCTATGATAAAAATATTGTTAAAATAATAATTTTTTTTATGACTTAATATTAATATTCATAAAAAATATTTAACATAATCATTTTCAGCACAGCAATATAGTAATTAAGACAAAATCAGTATAAGATTCTAATTAAATATGCTGTACGCACTAAATAGTTTGTTAAAACAAAAAAGTTCCACAAACTATTATGTTAATGAGCAAATAAAAATATACAGCTACTATTTGAATAACAAATTTTCCATTGTTTTTCACGATAAAAATTAACGTCAATTTGAGAAAAAAAAACGATTTATTTATTTTGAATATAGATGGAAATTGTTTGGAACATTTTCATATTGGCTATACATGATGAAAACTCACGTAGGCAATAATAGCAGAGGTGAATTCATCGAATGGAATAATTCTCTGAATTTTGACATGAAAAAATTTTCAATTCATTCGACGACTTACTTGCTTGCATTTTAATACAAGCTCAGTCAGAGTAAAAATAATACTGTATTTGTTGAATATAAAATGGAAATAGAGTAAAATAACTCAAATGGAAAATAAATTGTGATAATTATGAAAACAGTTTGCTAGTATAACAGTGTTGGTATAATAATATTACTATTTATTAGTAACAACTTTGAATGATTTTTGTATCAGTAATAATAATTAATTGTTAGAACAATAATTAACAAAGTTATTTCGAGAAACAATAAAGTTGTCGTTGAATGTGATACTTTCACTGAGAAAGTTTTCAAGTACTAAGTACCTGGAGTCTGTGGCTCCATGGTAACACCGTTAGTGTCGCCGCAAAGCAGTCTCACGAAAATACATAACTATGTATATGACAGGTACCGTGAAGCACACGGGCAACTTCTTAACGAGGAAACTTCCGTCCAAGCTCTCGACCCAACTTCGTCTTGCTGAAGATACTCTACACGTGCACCCTCTTGTTTTTTTTCTTCCATTTCTTTTTTTTAACAAATGAGACATTGAATAATCTCCTTAAGACCATAGTTATGCTGTCATATTCTTAAGTACTTTATCAAAAGCATTCTCAATTTATATGTTTTGAATTTTCTTTTTGTTTTGTAAATTTATTTTTTTTAGAAATTTTGTGTTTATTTTACTTGTTGATAACTTTAATTATAATTCTAATTAACATTATTTAAAAATTTTTGCAAGATATTTAAGTTCTAGAAAGTAGAGAGACTCTTTTTAATAAGTTATAATTGGTAATAAGTCATTTGGAATTCTTGGAATGGAGCTTAAACAAAAGCTTTCAGTAAAGCTTTTCAAAGTGGTTTCAAGTGTCCTAGCCTCATTATGAATATGTGATTAGAAAATATTTGAAATTTTATAAATTAGGAGATTTTTTGAAATTATCTATTTATAAAGATGTACATCAAAAATATGAACAGATTCTTTCAATAAGCAGATGATGAGGATGTAAGAAACACCGTAATTATAACATTATTAATTTTTTCTTGATGAAGTTTTACTATCTAATAATTTTTCGTTATTACACTCATCTATTTAATGGTGTGCAGGATATTGCGTCGATGGTATAATCATTTAATATTAATAGAGTAAAGAGAATGTACCATCAATCTTTCACTGAACTTCAATTATATATCTGATAAATTATGTAAAAGAAAGAAATTGTATTTTTTACACAGATAAAAGTATTGAGAAAAATCATCATTACTTTGCCTAAAGTTCAATATTTATTTTAGTTATTAATTTAACATCCTGAAGCCTAGGATTACGTTAAAAATTCATGATAACTTAATGAATAAAATTCTAAGTATTATATCGAGGTATTAAGATATAAGAAACGTTAGTTTTTAAAAAAATTTTCATTTTTCACCAAAATACTTTCATAATTCTGGCGTATATCAGAAGTGAAGACGTATCGACAGGTCATGACGTGAATTGCGATCAAGCTTTCATTCTTCATAAAAGATTGAAGAGATTTTCAACTCTTGTGTATAGTTATTCCCCTGTGAGAATTAAAAGAGAACGGTTTGTTCAGTAGGGAGATTGCAGAGTAAGTGAAGAGAATCCATTGTCAATTGGCTCCGTTAATAATTCAGAGCTTTAATGTGTCTGAAGTCGACATCAGGTCACGCTGTAGCACCTTCACATTCCATTAATATGCATACACAGATTGTGTATATACACAATGAATACATGTATCAACTAAACGTATATTGTTATCAAGAAACGCACTGTGCATTTACGATAGTCGTTTCTCTATCTCCATCTTCCTTCCTATCTCACATCGACTAACATTACAACCATTACCATGGGTTATAGACTTGAAAATTGCTAATCCAAGAAAACGCTCCAAGCTCTCACACAATATAAACATTTACGTTAAATTTTATCAGCGTGTTATTCTCTCAAAAATTACTACACCAATATGTGGATATTATGAATAATATATTTAACTTTTTTTATTTATTTTCACTCATTTTTTTTTATTTTAGAAACTTTTAGCAGAGAAAATAGTTAAGTGTTTTTTCATCATTTATTGGTTTTCGTTGAACAGGTTTTGTTCATTAAAATCAATTAGAAGTTAAAAAACATTTGCCCAAGATTTTATTGCTCATTACTATTTTATGAACTTTAATAGAAAAGTAAATATGATTTATTTTTTATGTTAAAGCATATTTTTTCAAGGTTTTTTTTATTTTAAAATGGAAACAAATTATATTTGTTTTGGTACAGATCTCATTGCAGTATGTCTATTTTTATAATATCTCATCATTTATACTCTACTAATTAATTTACTAATTCAATAACAACAGTATTGACGTTAATTAACAATGATTATCATATTCACATCAACCTGTGTTATATTGTTGACAAGTAAACATATGTATTTTCAAAGTTATATGACACCTGAATACGTTAGTTCGTGAGTTTATTTTCGTTATAAATAATATTTGATTCAATTGAAAATAGTAGAAAACTGAACCATATAGAAAATAATTTGATCAACTAATTAATTAATATTTGTTATTATTTGCATAACATTTATTTGGTTGATCACAATTTCACAAATGCATACAATTGTGAAATTTTCAGTATATTTTGATAAATTAAAATTAACATACATTAAAATAAGAGTAAAATAATAATAAAATATAGGTCATACTTGAATTGTGAGATTTTCAACAATTTCTTTACTTTTTACTTTTCTTTCCTAAGAACACTTAAATGTTAAAATAGCATTTGAACTAAAAAAAGTCTATTGCAGAAAGCCTCTATTATTTTTAATATTCTCTTTTATCTTCGTTGTATCTTTTTTTTTTATTTAGGCCCCTTTGATGAAAAATGATTCTCATCGAGTATATTGTTTCAGGAGTTGAAAACAATAGTAATTACTCGAGTTGTAAACAACTAAAGTTGGCATAGATGATGAAAGGGAAGAAGAGAAAGAGAGGAAGTTGAAGGGTAGAGAAAAGCTTTTGAGGAATATTGAATCATGAAAGGGATATAATTGAATGCGAGTTTCTAGGCATCGATGTATGTAAAGCACTAAGCTGATTAATTTAGCAAGATTAATAATAATCTCGCCATGCAATTTACCAGCATTTCCTAAATGTAAATGTCAAAATGATTAAGTACACAATGAATTGAAAATAATGAATATAAATGTTTGGAATTAGTTAAGAATAATAATCGTTATCTATTGCTAAATATACCAAACAGTATTCAACATTAATAATAAGATTAACCCATAATTCATAATCAGTAATTTGAAATATTTTTCATAAGAAATTTTAAAATAAATAAAATCTTTTTAAAATTTTCTAATACTTTTATTTTTCTCTATTATAGTTTTATAAGTTAATGGAAAAATATTTTTATTTTTATAATTTATTTATAGATTATAAAAGTAGATCGTGTGTATTGAATTACCTAAAAAGTTCAAACACCTTCTTATCTATCAACTATAAATAACAATGCATTTTGAATTGACAAAACCTCGAACGAATTATTTTTGATCTAATATTTCTACCGATTTGTTATTTCATAATTATGAATTACAAATATTTAACTCACTCGGTTAACCTTTCAATTATTCTCTACAATATATCTGTGACAATACACATTACTTGCCAAATTTTCTGCTCAATTAATTTGCTATGTGATACATTTTATTATTCCTCAAATTGATATTAAACGTGAAACTTGGCGGCAAAAGAATGAAGTGAATTTAATAATAAAAAGTTAGACGTTTTAAGATAATTCTACGGTTGATAGACAGTAGATTAAATAGAGAAAAATACATTAAGTCGAGCATATGTTAGTAGATCTAAAGAAAAATTCCAATACTTTGTATTCATTATAATAGTGAAAAGTATTCGAAAAATTTGAATACTTTGTATAATTATAATAGCGTAGAAAAAGTGTTGTTACAAGTTTTTAAAAATATTTTATTTTATTTTTATTTTTTCCTTCACTAGTTTCTTTGTCATTAATTTTTTTGTGAACTATGAAACATTTATAAAAGCGATTCACAGCTAGGTTTGAAAACAAACCAATCTAACAGTTTGGCAAAGTAAAGAGAAAGACCGAGAGAATAAAGAAGTGTGTGCAGTGAATGAGAGAGAAATAGTATAAAGAAGGATATCAAGCTAAAATCTTAGTATACAAGCACAGGATATTTATCTCATCGGTCTTTGGAAGAAAAGAGTTGATTCTATCAAAGTGGTTCGTATTTTGTACGTGAGAGGATCAAGGAAACTTATGTATATGGGACTTACAAGAAAGTGAAAAAGACAAAAGAAAGCTGAACAATTGAGAGAAGTCCAGGATATTTTATTGTTTCATCCTGTATCAAAGACTTGATAAGATATTGAACTTTTTGTCTTGGTTTTCAGTATAGAAAGAATTTATCTCTAGCTATATCGTTATATCAAAATGGAGATACTACTTCAACCGCTTTTGTGATATCTATCATCAACTCGTCTGAGTTTTAGCTTTATATGCAAAGCTACGAAACGTCTTTATCAATATTTCAAAAGATCTTACCAAAAAAATTGCTTCCGAATCTATGAATAATCGACAGGATATTATGCATAAAGAGTTCAGTCTGCAAAGTGTACGTTTGAATACCAATATATAATTCACAGGAAATAAAATCAAAATATTGATTGCTGTGGCTGACTTTTGAAGTGGTTACTCGAATTTCGTTATCAATTACAGATTTCAATAGTACAGTAGTTAAGCGACTACTTTCCAATAGTATTAGTTAAATCGTTTGTAATGAAATGATAGATGTGATTAAAATCAAAATTTCACTGACTGAAATGTCTATGTGGATAGTTATTTTATAACGTTTTTTGATCCAGATTGTTGATGAGATTTCTTTTTTTAGACAATGATCTTTAATCAATGATTCATGGTAGTATAAATTTTAATAACATCAGTCTACATTGAAATATTCATCTAACTTAATTTTAGATTTAAAAGAATTGTATAACTTCTTAAAATCATTAAAAACTTTTATGAGACCAACAAAATTTACTTGAACAATAAGAATAATTATTTTGGTCATTAAAAATCTTAAATTAAAACCTGAATTTTTTACAGGTTTCTCATTTTATTTTAACAATGGATTAGATATGAATTTCAAATTAAATTTCCTCTAAAAGCAATATATAATCTTAAGATTGAAAAGATACTGATATTTCTCTTAAAACAATAGACAAGCTCATATTTTTCTAACATGCAGATGTCAGTTTCCTTTTTTTCCTAAATTATTCCGACGTTTACATAAATTTAAAACTTGCTGAATCATAAAATGTATCTTTCAAGTATTATTGATTGCTCTTTGTTTCATTTTATTAATTTCTTTAAAAAAGCGTTTAATCTTACAACAAAAAACTGTAAATCGACAAACGCCTTTTCTTGCCAAATCGATAATCTCCAGTCGTTTATCGGTCTCAAAAAATGTCTTATCATATGGGCCAAGCGTTGACCTACTTGGCTCAATATCAAAAACTTTACGTTCCTGAAACCAGCATCAAGACTATTCACCTGAATGTATAAAGTATCGGTGTAGATCGTGTAACTACTTTTCTTTCTTTTTTTGTTGAGCTTTCTTGCAAAATTTTTTATCTTAGCATCGCGACGATATTGATCTTCTCTTCCTTTGACCTTATCTTTAAAGCGGTAAAGTAGATAAAATTATCTTTCACGTAGGTAAGAATATGTGTTCAAATTATTATTTATATTTTCACTCACTTATTATTAAAGTAAATAAATCAATAGGTAGACAGACACCTTTCAAGGAATAAATCAGTTGTTAAAATTTTGAAAAACTTGAATTTCATTAGTATTATAACAAACATCACCTTCTTCATTGCTATCATTCTGAAGTAACCAAATCTCTTCCTCATCAAAATGTGCATCGCCTCCTCGATCACGACCAGGAAAAAATGCATGAGCTAATATTTGTCCTCTTCCATCAAAAGGATATCCATCTCCATGATATCCCCTACAAAACAAAAATTTGTTAGTATCTTATGTATAAAACTATCGATTAAGTAAATGAATAAATGGAAGGTAAGAATATTAGAAAAGTGAATTAAAATTCATTAGAATTACGAATGTAATTAATTTGATAGAAGTTTGGTTCTCATATATTTATTGAATTTACCATATTTTGTTATATTTTCATGTTCATTTCTTTTTATTTTAGTTCTATTTATAAATTTACATGGACATGTGCGAAAAATATAAAATTCATTTTATTTTGAAATCATGTAGATTTTATAACAAACAAACTAATTTTATGTTAAATTGCAAACGATAAAGTCATTAGATGCTACAAAATTGAAATACCGACTTCATTAATATAAATATAATACATGTTAAAAACTAGGTGCATATGAAATTTAAAACGTTCCACAATCTAGAGATTGTCTTCAAAATAAATGCAATTTCTAAATCCTTATGAAGTTTCTCTTTTCAAAGATCAACACTGTGGTCATTTTTTGGTTATCTTTTTCAAAAGAGTCAATTTATTTTTATCGTTATTATCAAAATTATTCTTGCATTTTCGGATCATTAAATCACGAACTTTTCTTCTCTACAAGTTTATTTTTTAATTTAAAAGTAAAATAATTTAAACAAATAATAAAATTATCTAAAGTTTTTAAATGAAATTTTAATTTAATCATTTGTGTCGGGCTGTTTGAAAATTCCAAAGCAACCAACTCGAAATTTTAACTCTATTTCTTACTATCCAGCATAGAATAAGTAATCGTTTTGCTCACTTGAATTGTCAAATACACTAGTGTACAGTAAATTAAACGTTAAGCTGATATTTTGTATGAAACTATCGTTGGAATAATTTTCTCATAATTAGAACGAACTTTTGTGTATTTTAAGGTTTACGTTGAAAATTTCATAACAGTCATTACTCTTTTTTGTATTCATAAAAAGAAAATACAAATAGAAGCGGGTCAAGTGAATTGTGTAAAACTCAACATTGTAAAAGGAAACATTTCCCTAGTGATTTAGATTTCCTTGACGATTTCCAATATATTCCTTCTTTCTTTGGGTATTTTTTTTACTTGCCCAGTTCTTTCCTACCAACAACAACAAGATCTCTGCGTTGCAAATTGTCTAGATAGTATCCAGGGATTTTTCTGTAGTATCGAAATGTTCTAGAATTCACATTCACCTCTGGTAACTTTATTTTGTTTTTCTACATCACAAATTTTACTGATTTCTGTAGTTTTCTATTCTGCAAATAGAAACCCTTTTTTTATTAGATGTTTTTTATAGAAAAAAAACTGACCCGGAAAGAAAGGCAAATGAGGCTATAAAATAAATGAAACGAATCGAATTTTTTTTTTTTTCTGAAAAGATGTGAAAAAGAGATATTATAAAGAAAATAATTGGAAATCCTAAAGATTCAGAGCAACAAAGAAAATAAAAAATATAAATAAATCCAATTAGTGACGAGGATGTGTTTAAATATTAAACCTTTTTTGTATTTTGATTTGTATATCCATGTATACATCGATATTCGGAATAACTAAAATACAAGATATTAAAGTGAATCAGTCCAAAATAGTATTGTTTGAATTAAAAGTATTTATTGATCTAGATATTGTTATTGAAAGTTGTCACTAACAGAGAAATATCGTTTTGTTTCAAAAGAATACCGCTAAATAATAGAATCGTCCTGTAGAAGGAATAAATTTATTTTTCAACAAAAAAAAAAAAATAACAAAGCATCGTATTTTTTAACAAATTTTTTCCCACCTGGTAACAAAAGTGTTCATAGAAAAAAACCGTACTATTGAAATTGGTGCTACAGAAATTCTGTTAAAAGGCTTCAACAAAAAAAAATCGAAATAATGAACTTAAGTTGATAATACTGATTTCGAAAAAACAATTTGTTGCAGATAAAATTAATTTTTTCAATGTTCTTTATCTTTAAACATAAAGAATGAGTAAATACTTTTTTCTTACTTTTTTATTATTGGTGAAAAGAAGAACAATTTCAATTTGCAAACAATCCACTAATTAAATGATTATCATTTTCAATATTAACATAAGTAAACATCTATATCAAAATATCAATTCTCAGTAATCACTACTAATGCCTGTTTTAGAATGTAAACTACTGATTAATATTTATCTATTCATAACTACATATGGGTCTATTGAATTTTAATCCACAGAAAAACATGGCATATGTTCTCTAAACATGTCAGCTTAAAATAAGATAAATGTTCAAAAAATAGTGGAATAATCACACTGAAGTATTTCGGCAAAAAACAATTTGCCTGAACTAAAAGATAGGGAAACAGATACAGATTGTGTTGATTTGAGCGTTTAGATAACGGAAATAATCACACACTGTCATCCTCACTAGTTTGGTTGACATTTGAACACAAAGACTCAACGCAAACTGTGTTGAAACAGTATACAATATATGAGTACGGAGCAGGGAAATAACTCTTGCATCGGTTGACCGCATATAAATTATAATTTTGACATTACAGACAATAGACGAGTAATTTTACGGTATGTTCTGTAGAGGTTTGCGGGTTTGAGTGTAATTCTTTATTCTTGTTTTATCATTTTCCTTCTCACGTCTTTTACACCCTCCTCTTTGTTTATTTTACAGAGCTGTTTATATTCTAACATTGCAAACTTTTGTGTTGCATTGATTTTAAAATTAAAAACCTCATAAACGAATACAAAGAAAAGAAGTCGACAATTTAAGCGTATATTTCTCTGCTTATTCCTTCCTGTACTTGACATCTATCTATTATGTAACATTAAATTCTTAAAAAAAAATTTTTTTTTTAAATAAATTTTCACTCTCTTGACGTAATTTTTATTCCGTTATAACAAAAAATTCCAACAATGTTGATACCATGAAATTGGAGCAGTGAAATTGAATTTTATTGTTTCTTGAATACAATGAGAAAAATTTTATTCTGTAAAAACATTCTAGTAAATGATAAATTTTCATTACCGTCTTCTTTTGCATTTTTTTTAAATCTAATATACTTTTTTTTATTATGCTTATGTTTGATATTTGCCGTGTTAAATGAATTTTCAACTAGACTCTATTATACTCATGAAATTAAAAAAAAATGTATGATGGTATTGATTTTCATTTTATTGAATCTGTAAAATCTAATAAAAATAAAAATACCCATTTTATTACATATTTTATTTCTCCAATTTGTGCTTTATTATATCAAGAGTAATATTTTTTACAAACACTTTTTTATGATTATTATCATCTTAATTTATATAATAGAGAATTAATAAAAGTAATTACGTCAATAGAAGCGTTCAATAAAATATTGAAGTCGTAATAAATTTTTTCAGTTAACAAAATGATCATTATTGTCTATATTGGTAATAATGAAACAGAATATATAGTCGAGTTATATTAACTAGTATATATTAATAAATCAATGTAAATATTACTGAAAATGTAATTTATAGGCACTACATTATGCGGGGAAATTATGCATAGAACCAACAATTGTTCGACTTTATAAAAGCAACCCGGCAATGGTGCTGAATATGAGTTTTCATTGAACGAATGGGTGAAACAGGACGTGTACTTTGATATCACAATCAAGTGCACTCATTTGTAAATTATCAAGTATATATTTAGTGATAAAATTGATTGTGCTCATGACCGAGATACTCTATTCGTTTGCATTTCAATAATTCCAATCGGATTAATATACTATCATTTTATTTTTAAAAATACAACATTTTTGATAATATAATATAACTATGATAATATCTTTTTAACTTGAAGAAAAATATTCGTTCTTTGAATAAATAAATGAACGAGTACGATCGAGAGACAGAAATTGGAATGATAAATTGGTGATAATTTTTTAATTCTAAATTGATTTATAAAAGTAACCCGACATGAATGACCATAGAATTTCTAATTAAGCTTGTATTTACTAACTTACGTCACACTAATTCTCTTTTAGTTGCTTTCTACTTTTTCCATACTTCATTGTTACCTTTTTTTCACATATTCTCCATTTCAGTTAAAAATATGCCTTCAACTTTGAATAATAATCGTAATTAATATATTAATTCAGTGAATAAAATTACTACAATTACATAAAATCGAATAGATCAATTATAAATTTTTACTTTTGTGTTTTAAGTCTATATTTACAAAAAAAATTTATTCTTATTTCACCGGTCAATTTTCTAGAAAAAAATAATTATTTATAAATTATTGAGTTTTTGAAAGAATGAGGAGAAAATGCTGCTCATAGTACTTGTAATTTCATCAATAATATTTAAATATTTAACTGAAATTTTCTTACAAATATTCATCGATGGAACTGAACATATGCTACATAGTAATAATGCTATTATTGTATAAATACCTGTGAAAGTAGATAAGGATATCTGCACGATCACTATTAACTTCCTGAAAGGTGAGTTTCGAATTCCTTGCCCAAAGATCCAAAGCCCGACTCAACTCCTGTCGTACTCCATACGTATCCAAACCACTTGGTTGGGTAGTTCTTAGGCTGAAAAAGTTAACAATTTTTATAAATATAGCTTGTATTAATCTTTAATTGAATGCATATTATATTCTATTTATAAAAAAATATAAGCGTAAACATGATAAAAAGTTATAAGCGAATTATTATAATCATTAGAGTTCAAACGTTTTGTTTTTGTTATTATTTGGGCTTAATTGGTCATTAAAACTTGAAAGAAAAAAGTTTGGTAGCCATTGTCAAAATAAAACAGGGAAAAATTGGCCAATGTCAGCTGGAAATGTCATCTATGCTAATGATAACAGATAATTGTTAAAAATTGGTATTTTACTAGACTCTAAAATAAAACTCTAATCTACTCTTGTTTCATCATAATCAAATTGGTACCGGCTAATATGCAATTCATCCCCGTGACATATCTACACCCTTGAGATTTCTTTCGAGTGAATATTGGATTATGAACTGTGTGAAAAAATCACGTATAGCATAAATGTCACATGCAAATGCAAACAAATGCCATGTGCGCGTTACAAGTAACATAGATGAACCATTATTGCCAATATTTTACTATTTTTAGGGTATATATATATATACAAAAAAAATAAAAAAACAATCCGATAATATTTCTTCTTTATATGTACACATATTCTCCAGTTTCCATGTTATTTTCAAACTTTTTTGCTCTATTATTTATTTATTCTCTCTTTTTTTTTATTTCTGATACCTGATATTTTATACTACTAAATTTTCTCAGGAAAAAGTGGCTATCATTCCAAGAGAATAAAACCACGAATAGAGGATGACCGACAAAAAAAGATACATGATGTAAAAAAGCCGAGATACGTGAGACTAAACGTCAAATGAGATGGACAAAGCAGAGAAAAAAATCTCGTTTGGTTGTGTTCACTTGATAAAATACAGTGATGTGTACAGGATGTAACATATAAAATTGTTGAATAATATTCTTTATCGTTACGCTGTACATGTAATATCGTTAAGGCATAAAAGTTCTTTTCTATATTTTGAATTATATCTCTAACGTCTTTCTTGTCTCATGACAATCACGCTATAAAGACGGTCTATTCCGCGATGCAATGGAATATTCTAGAACAAGTTTGTTCTACAAGATTATATTTTATCGTTCGCCTGTTTCACTTCATCCGGTTCTTCTTGAAAGCTCGTAGAAATCACCCAAGTTAAAAACTATAAAGACGAGAAAAACCGAAAAAGTTAACAATAAATTTTTGTTTCATGACTAAGATTACTTTTTTATTTAAATTTTATGTGAGTGCATTATATAATGACGTGAAAAAATAATCTCAAGTCTAATGCATGTATTTTGTTTTTTAACAGATAATAAAAATGGTATCAGAAATGTAGTTTCGACTTAAATGTTAATTAGAAGATGTGTAATGGAAAAAGAACGAATTGAATTGAAAATACTTGGGTCACAGTAAACTTAGCAATGTACTTGTCGTAAAATACTGCAATGTTAATTAAATGCAAATTTTAGATTGTTTTTATTTAAAATTGATTCACTCGACAGTGATAAATAAGCGGAGTGGAAAAAGCGTAAATATAAGCTAAAAATATTTTTGTGAAAAATAATGTTTTATTTTTAAATTTAAACTGATAATACTTGCACAGATGGTATTTCTGATAAATTTTTGACTCTGGATTATTAGAAATGAAATGAAAAATATTTAGTTGTAATAAAAAATAATTTAATATCAAAGTAGAAATAATTGGAGTATTTTTTTAATGATATAATTGAATTGATATTTCCATTTAATTTTAATGTCTTACTTTCAGTAAGTATTCATCACTACTATGAAACTTTTGTTACAATTAATTTTTTACCCATAAAATATTGATAGAATGCATTCTCATATCACTTTGAATAAAATAAAATTAAAAAAAAAACTCAAAGTTGATTTCTCTCTGGTAAACAAAATTTTTATTTTCCATAATCTTTTGAGGCAGCAATTTCTACAATTGGAAATGGAGTCGAGATTTTGTTTCAACTTGAAATAAATCGTTGTTCACAAAAAAAAAGAATATAATCTTGAAAGAAAAGAGTAGCGAGTTTTGAGAACAAAGTTTTCGTTTTTATTTTAGTCTATGCGATAGAACAAAAATTGTTTGAAGTTCGTAAAAGTAATTTGGAGGAAGGTCGAAGGTGGCTGATAGAAGTATTTTCACATTACATGAGCAAAACAGGTGGAAATAGTATACAGGGAGAAAGCTCGTATGTCGACGAATATGCAAAAGCGTCGAGGATATAGGCGAGAGGCCGAGTAGTTTGAGCGGTGAAAGGGGACGGTTTGAAAAGGAGAGCACGTGAGGTACTTTGGGTGAGCGACATCATAAATCACCAGGCTAGTACAGCAGTCGGTGCTCTCCTGTATCCCCTGTGGCGACGCCTCGTTACTCTCCCGCGAATATCTCCTGCCCTCCGCTATATCCTCCCTCTCGACCTACCACTCATGTTCACACTGAAATATCTTTATTTAGAGACACACAACCCTTCTGTGCACCAATAAATATTCAACAAAATGTTTCACTTCTGATTGATGAATATTTTTATTTATTTACATCCGCTTTCAACATTTCTTTATCAACTTATAATATTCCTCTAATAATGCATTATCATAATTACTTCATTAAATGAACGGCGGCAACATTTATTGCTTTCAAGTAGTATTATCATATTTTTTCATATCTCTATTAATAATGCAACTATTAAAAAACGTAGACAATTTTTGCCTTTTACTGAACTGGAAAGGATACCAGATACATGAGTTTGTGCATTTTTTTTATACCAAATTCGTTTTTATAAAATTACTATTTTTTTTTTAATAACATATGCTGACTTTTTTAAATTGAGATATTCAAATAAGTAATAGCTGTTATTGTTACTTTTATTTATTGTTATAACCGAATATAGGCTTCCGAACAGAATTCAAGAATACAAATCGTTGAAAAATAAGATAAACCAAAAAGTGTAATTTGTGTTCTGAAATATCCGGAGTCGAAGTTTTTATATGAATCTTATATTATATTAAATATATGGAATTATAATAATAATTATTATTTAATTATATTAAATATATTAAATTTTTCGATATATTCAATATAAATTAAATATTTTATGGATATTCATTTGATAAAGAAATCTTTACTGAATTTATATCGAACATATCTGAATAATTCCATTCTCAGAACTGTCAAGATAGATTCAGTATGAAAATAATTTTTCAATATTGAATTTATACTGACGTTTCTGAATTCCGAAATTCTTATTTAGTATCTTCAGTATATACTTATTTAATAGAGATTTAGAAAATTCAATACGGAATAAGGATAATTTAGGTCGTGCTTATAATTTCACTAATTATTTAAATAATTCACACCAAAATTAAATTCAATGATTTTTTAAAATTTTAATAATGATGTATACTTGATTACAACAATTTTTACTAAACAATTCTTACACTTTACAACTAAAAATTCAAACTAATTATTAATTACATTTCACAAACAACAATTATAAACTAATCGCTAATAGCCTAAGGAATGAACGAATTTAGATTGATTATCACTTATCTTATAGAAAAAAACATCATAACCTTGTTCTTAGTCCTTTATTGCTAGTAATCTTTAGAATTGATCACTTTAAACTAAACTAATTATTTGTTAATCACAATACGCTAAGACAGTAGCAATTATAATTACATATATCTTCACAACGAAATTCCTATGACGCACTTCGATTGTCCGTTGAAAAATCACGTTTAGACAGTTCGGTCGATCAACGGTTACTATAGGCAACCACTGGCTATATTTTCAATATAACTGACCAAGCTTATTCTATATTGAAAATATTGATGTCAGAATAATCAATGTGAGATCCGTACAACAAAAACTCTGTCAATATCTTCAATATAAAATAAATATAATTCCAGAATGGTCAGCATAAATTCATAATACTTTTTTGAAGAAGCTATTCTGATTTTATATTGAAAATATTGACGTCAGAACAATCAGTTTGAAATGAGAATGATTTCAAGATATTTAATACAGATTTAGGATGAAAATTCAAGAATCAGTATTTTCAATATAAATTCAGAATAGTTTTGGGATATTCAGTATCGAATTAGTAAGAATTCGGTATATTCAGTATAAAGTTTATATAAAAATTTTGACTTGGGTATACTGTAAAAACATCAGATGTAATGAAAACTAAAAAAAAATACGATAAATTATTTTCATCTAGATATCCGTCTAAGAAATATTGAATGATTTATGCTATAAAGATTATGATTTTAATTTTAGAAAAATTGAAAAAAACTTTTGCCAATCACGTATACTTTTGAATACTTTTTTTCGAGTTTTTAGACACTTTTTTTCGTAGCACAGGTATTTTGATGCATTTCAAAGTCCAATAATTAATGCATTTATCTCTATTTAAAAGTATAGCTTTACTTCAGAAACTATTTTATAATCTGTTTTATAAATATATTAATAAATCTCATTAATTTTAGGAATTCATCACATCTCGTTCATTAAATATTTATACTACAAATTTAAAAGGTTTTCATATCGAGCCATTAATTAAGAGCATTTTAAGCGAATGATAATTAACATTATTTATACATTAAACCTCAAAATCTAAATGAAAATCATACACGAATATTTGATATCAAACACAGAATAGATTTAAGGTAATTAAAAAAGCAATTGAAATTCTATACATAGTTTATCAACTCTTATTTTTGTTTTCACATTATTTTTATTTAGTTTTATTGTTAACGGTTTAATTATTTTGTAGGAAATTTCACCTCTCTGACAGTTGATTGGCACATGACGATAAGAGAAGAGGAATTATCTGGTGAGAGACAGAGATTAGAGAGTGACATGAACCAATGCTTTCGAGAGTCACTCGGTTCTCGATAGTACACAAGAACTTCATGTCGAGCCTCTCGATCAATTCGCATAGGTCAAGAGGATGAGGAACGACAAAGCAT